TCTCCCAGACGACAGCTGCTGGGAGCAGCCGTGCAGACAGACCTGCACCTCTGCAGAGCTCCTCTGACCTTCAGCCTGAGGGTCAGGGACCAGCAAGCCTAAACTCCCAGCAGGCGGTCTGGTGGCGAGTCACAGCACCCGGCACTTGGGCCATCCATCCTCAGCGGGCTACTGAAAGGATTTTGCTGCAACTTTCCCCGCCCTCTGCCCTGAAAGCCCTCAGTCCCATCAGCACCACACTCACCCGCTGCCTCTGTTCCACAAGCCCCTCCTCAGGGCAGCCTCATTTGTGGGCCAAGCCACAGCCTCAACCCTCCAGCCAGGGGCCAGACCCCCTCAGAGGGTCAGGATCGGATCGGCTGCCCAAGCAGCAGGAGCAGACCGCGCTTCCTAACAGCCAGGCCCGAGCCCAGGTGGGGTCAGCGCCACAACTTCTAAAACAGCAGAGGGCTCTGCGAGAGACTTGGGTGCCAGGTGTGCCCAAAGCCCTCTGAAAGACGCAAAAAGCTGCAAGCAGCTAGAATGCTGTACAGGAAAAGACCAGCTTTAAAAAGTTGTAAAGCCACGTGATGGAATCTGCAACAATTAGCATACTCTGTGCTACGTGAATATAAGAATAAACAGGAGTCTGTGGACTAGGGAGAGGCTCCGATTTGCGTGCTGGGCCCCCACCCACCTGAGCAGCCTGGGGCTGGCAGCCGGAAGTGGGAAGGGACCTGGTAGGGCTGGGGCCCACATAATGGCCATTTGCTTCTGAATAATTATCTGTACTTTCCAAATGTCTATAAAAATATGAATATTTACAAAAGAGCAGTGCGTTTAAATTAATTAATAAATAACACTGCCAGACTTGGTGATACATGCCTGTGGTCCCAGGGGTGGGAGGCTGCGGCTGGAGGATCGCAAGTTCAAGGTCAGCCTGGGAAACTCAGAAAGACGCTATATCAAAAAATAAAATAAAAGGAAAGGAAAAAGGAACACATTGGAAATTCCGTACCAAAGCCTGTGCTATCAGGAGATTTAGAATTGGCTTTGCATCCACCGTGAAAAGACCACAAAATACACCATCTTAGGGTAACAAAATTACAGCTTGGAAATGTATAATTAACAAGTTTCGATACCCAATAACACATACAGGTGCCTGCCTACTGCACACAGCAGCCGCCGTCCTGGGACGCGTGGAGGCTGAGTCCAGGCACCGGACCCGCAGCTTCCTGGAGCAGGAGCCTGGCTGTGTCCACGTCCCAGTCAGTGTGTGGATGTCAGAGAGGAAAACCCGCAGCTCCACGCCAGGATGCCCTTAGACTTTCTGTGCACCTAGGAGTAGGGCAGGCTCCTCCCAGAGCCCCCAGGGACTGAGGTCTCCACCAGGTCCTCTTCAGGTTGGTCCCCGTCTCTGTTACTTTTTTCTTGTTGCTGAGACAAAATGCCCGGCGTCCAAAGTTCATGGAGAAAAGATTTATTTGGCTTACAGTTCGCAGAGGCTTCAGCCCATAGTCATCCGGCTCCAAGGCAGAGCGGCACATGGTAGAAGACAGCAAAAGCAACAAGGGACCTTGGCAGCATCTTTCTGCCCCTTTTATCTTATCCAGACTACTTGGGGTGGGCAGCACTCACACCCTTAATCCCAGAGCCTAGCACTTCACCATGAACAATCCAGGGTCGCACATCTAGATCCAGCCACTTCTGAGAAAACTCCACCTATGACCGCATGAGGCTTTGTGGGGACATCTAGACACGAGCTGTGACATCCCCAGGTCCCAGGGGATCCTGTGTAAATAGAAGCACCACGATAGATATAGGGCATCAGACTCATGTGTGCCTGGGCAGCAGCACACAAGAACCTAGTGCCACTCTCCAAACAGCCACCTGGAGAGAAGTGTGCTGGAAAGACCCCAGGAGTTCACAGGCAGGCAGGCAGGCAGCGCCACTGGTGACAGCACACCTTCCAGCAGAGCGTCTTTACCTCCTCCCCCTGCCCCTGTCACTCAGGGCAGCCCCTGGGGAGCCTCCAGGTCAGGTCGGCAAGGTGGCTGTGCAAATACAATATATCGCTTTGCTCCTTTGCTGCAGAAAGCATCATTGATTTGAAACTAATTCTCAAGCTTCTTGATCTCAGAGTCTAGATTTGGTTTCCCTGAAACCACAATACAAGTTGACAAAGCTGGTCTGGAACTGTCATTATTTGCTTACTTTTTGGTCCTGGGCATCGAACCCAGAGCCTTCTCGCTGAGCTACATCCCAGTCCCCAGACATCTCTCTCGTGAGACAAGGTCTCCCCTAAGACAAGAATTTGCCCACTAAGACATGGGCTCTTCACATGGGAACACAGCTCCTGCCTGTCCTCCTGCAAGCTGCGTGCCTCTGTAATGCCAAAGTGGAGAAATGAATGGAAACCAGGAAGGCAACGGGCTTGAGCAAAACATTTTAAAAATGTCACATTACCACAATTTACAATGACTCTGAGTTAGCAGACACATTTTTCTTTCTTTTTTCTCCTGAATTCTGGTACTTCTCAGTACAGCCACTGCCTCACACAAAATAGGGTGCTCCTTGGATTAATATCTTCGATGATTAAGTCGATTTATAAGCAATTTTCTCCTCATTTAAAGAGCACCCCAAAAGGGCTCCTGTGGGAAACAGATGGGGTCGGGAATGACGGCTTCCAGGATTGTGAGGCCAGCGGAATCTCCATGAACACCCATGTGTGGTGGCTGCGGGTAATGTATTTCCCCGTGCGACGTTCGGTGCTCGGGACTGAAGTAATGTATTCCCCTGTGTTACATTCCTCCCTTCGTTTTGGAGATGTGCATGCACTTTTCTGGGGATGAGGAAACCCCACTTGGATAATTACAAAGCAGCCCCATAGGAGCTTCCTTTTTCCAATGTCAAGAGTTGTGTTTGTCTCTGGCCAGTCCTCTGGCCGAAGTGGGCATCGATCAGCACAGTCGGACGGTGGGCAGAATTCCCGGGCATCAGGTGAGTCCCAAACACAGTCACCCCCACTCGGAGCCCTGCAGGGACAGATGTGGGCCCTTCCTCTGAGCAATGTGGAAAGCCAGGGTGTATTTCAGACTATTTAGAGCTAGCACAGGCACAGGACAAACCGAGACCGACTGACCGTGCTCGCGTGCCTTCTGCTGGGAAACGCTGTGTCTCTTCACGGCTGGGCCTGTCAGGGTGTGACCTGTTGGGTGTAGGGGTGCGTGTGTCAGAGTCTGGACCCTGACGGCACCCGCTGCTGCACTCCGGGCTGCGGTAGACCCCTGGGGCTGGGTCTCTGTCACTCGCAGGCCCTCACAGTGGTCTGAGGCCATCCCTTCATCACCTCGTCACTGGGAGAAAAGACAGTCGGCAGGGGCTGTCTCCCCTTGGCTTTCCTTTTTAAAGGGAGTATTTCTAATGCTGAACCCTGCTCCCTGCAAGTCCGCTGGGCAGAAGTGTTGCTCTGGCTGTCGTTCTCGAGGCGTCAGGGTCCCCGGCCCGGCACAGTGCTCAGGAAATATTGGCTTGATGAATGAGTGACTGTATCCTCAGCCATTTCACACTACCTAATACCGACTTTTCCAGGCTCCGAGAACTTTTCCCAAACCAAGAAAAGACTTTCCAGGAGTATTTTAACCCTGCTGCCGAGCTTCAACTACTGAAATGTTTGGACAGCCATCGCTGTCGGCGCTGCCCTTGGACTCACCTTTCCCGGATCTCCCCTCACGGAGCCCTTCCCCTTCCCTGAGAGCCGCCCTCCAGTCGGTCACTGAGCTGCATGTCTGCAGGCCACTGAGCGGCTCCTAACTGCCCTGTCTCCACAGAGCGGTGTCCCTCCCTGTCCCAGAGTCACTCTGGCTGCGTGTGGCTCAGGCCAACAGCAGCCTGGAGCCAGACGGCTCAGCCCACAGATATTGATGAGCACTTTGAGAAGAACAGCCCATCGAAGCTAACCCCCATGGTGTCCCCTCTTCAGCCCCGGGAGGTAATAAAAAGGAAGGCACACTTTGGAAATCATTCTGATTCACAGGGTTTTGTTTCTCTGCATCTCATATTCCAGAGACCCAGCCTTAAAGTTCATTTTAATAATAACAAGAGTAATTAAAAATTAATATTGATAACCTTAGGGTTTAGAGTGCATGGAATGTTCCAGGGAGTTTTCCAAGGCCTCCCCCTGCAGAATGCACTGAACCCTTCCTTTTGAACTGGCTCCTATTTTTATTTTTCTTTTCAAAAGAAGGCTATTTGAGAGTTTAAGAGAACTATTTTTCTCCTCAGATGTGGTCAAGTACTGGCTCATCTGGATTCTTGTAGATGAGCTCCTTGGCCTCAGTAAGAACTCCCCACCAGGACAGCCCCACGGGCACTGTTCGCCCACAGTCACAGCCTGTGATTTTGGGACTCCCTACCCAAACCTAACTGCAATTGGAAAGCATTCCCTGGCCGAGAGCCAACACTCTCAGCACAGGAGGGGCTGCTAAGGAACAGGACCCTCCCGCTCAAGCCCCACCTGTTTCCTGACACAGTCGAAGGTCCCTCACTCTGCTCCACCGTGGGGCCTGCTGTACTCTCAGCGCCCCCTGCTCACCTGCTGGGCCCCTAAAGTCTGATCTCCTGATGTAGGCATCTTCAGGGCTTCTGTCTAGATGTCCCCCAAAGCCTCATGCACTCACAGGTGGGGCTTTTCAGAGCTGCCTGGGTCTAAGGTGTGTGATACTGGGATTAAGGGTGTGTGGTAATGTTAGTCTTCTGACTGGAATTACTATAGTTCTGAGTATGGTTGGAATGATTTATTGAAGACAGAAGCCCAACTCTGAGTGTGGGTGGTACCACCCAAAAGGCTTGTAGCCTGAATGGACAGAAAGGCGGCCAACTCATTTCCTCCTGCCAGCCTGCCATGGACTGTTTCTCCTCTGTGATGCCTTCTGCCAGGCCACCCTGCCTTGAAGCCAGCCAACTATGCACTGAAACCTCTACAAACTGTGAGCTAAAATACAACTTTCTCCTTTAACTGGTGGGTGTTGGGTATTTTGTCCCAGCAATGAGAAAAGTAACTAAAGCATACATGAAGTGACAAAGGACTATCTGTTTGCTAAGACCTAGGACCTCCCTGAATAAGCTCAAGGTCCAGCTCCAGTGGTAGGTGGCTTTGGAGAAATGACAGACAATCTTTGAGCCTATGTTTTCCCTGATGCCAACTGCACAAGGATAATCATGGGAGGAACATCGGGTGACACTGGGACTCCCTGTGCCTGGCACACCGATCAATATTAAAGGATGTGAAAATAAGCCCATCCCCTGGGTCCTGCCCACACGTCACAGGGCCCTGTCCTTTGTGGTGCTCTGTGGGACAAGGGAACTTTGCTGTCACGGGCTCCACTGGGACATCCAAAGGCCTCGGTCTCACCCACGCCATAGAAGTAGGACAGCACAGACTTCCAAAGGTTCATGCCACTCTTCCATGCATGGCTCAGCAAGCCGGGCTGGGGACACACTCCTTTGTGGCTGCCCCCCCGCTAGGGTCTGTTCAGCACCACGGACAAGCACTCAGTGGTCAGAAAAGAGCCTCCATGTGTCAGCCTGGTGGCTGCAGTCCACTGCAGGTAGCATCTGCCCACTTCCACGGTATGAATTCTCCCACTGAGGCCAATGTCAAGGTGTTGGAGTGACTTTACTACAGGCCGTAGAGGAGTAGAGGCTCAGGAATGCACCATTATGCAGCATTTTTCCATTTGGAAAGACAGGTGCAAATAACCTGAAAAGCATATACATAATCATAAAATGTGGTAAAACACTTAGGAAGCTTTGTATTTTTAGTGTTCATGACCTTTGTTTCAGTACAATTTAATTGTAGTTTTATATATACCTAATGTTTACAACAGCTATATTTAAAAATCAGCTCACAATTCCTGAAAATGTGACTTGCTCTCTGCAGCTTGTAGGCGCCAGCCCGGGTGCATGCTGGCTTCTGCCCCCGCCTCTCTCTCTTTCTCGGCTTCCAGCCCCTGGCTATGACTCAGCCCCAGCTCTCTGCCCACTCACGACGTGGATAGAATCTACTCCCAGCCGCCTGCCAGTTAGACCACTGTGGCCCAGTCTCGGCCTCCCTGCACCTGACTCACGGCACCCACACCCCATCTGCCACCACCTGTCCCATCTCACCCATCACCCCCTGGAGGCATTGGGGGGAACCCGGGCTCAGAAGTCAGGAAATGTGAAGTCCGGGCTCTGTCCTTTCCAGCAAGGAGCTTACTTCTCCATCAGCTGCTGGTGCCTCTGAGTGGGAGACTGACCAGGTTATCCCTCAGGCTGCCAACTGGACTGATCCAAGCAGAGTTGCTCAGCCCGGCTTTTGTCACCAAAAAATAACCATGGAAGATGCCCCTGTGCAACGCCCGACAGCCTCTAGCCCGTGCCGAGGGCAAAGACGCACTCTCTAGCAACCCCTTCCTGTTTCTGCTCACTTCCTGCTGTCAGTCCGAAGGGCCTGTGTTCAGTCATGGCCTCTCTGCTTCTGCTGGGCCGCCATCACTGCCCGCCCAGTTCACGGGCCCCCATGGCCAGGCTGTCACAGCCCTGGGAAATCCCAGCCAGGCCCAGTGCTTCCCAAGCCCAGGACACAGCCAGAATGGTAGGCAGGGCTATAGCTAACCATAGCAATCCACTCCAGAGCAGCCTGCATTTGCTACCTGGGGAGATAATGCAGGCCTTCAAGAATGTCCTTAATGAAAATGTTTAGGGTATCAGACTCAGCCCCGAGGTGCAGGAAAGGACTTTCCCCAGAACAGCGGGCTCCCTGTCCTGGGCTGCAGCCGGAGGCACAAGGTAGAAGGGCTTGGACAGGGGCCTGGCTTCCCATGGAGGGAGGCTGCCGGTGCAGAGGATGCTTAAATTCTGATGTGGACAAAAGCAAAATTACTGAAATACAAGACCAAGAGTCTGGGTCCCCTTAGAGATCCCTTTAGCCAGATGCATCCCGAGCACCACACATTTTCTGAGTAGCTACTATGTGCCCTGCAGATGCACACTGGAGAGGCAGCCAGGCCACCACAGAGCACACCTCTGCTCTTACGGGGTCCATGCACCTGGGAAAGAGACACCCCAGCCAAAGGCCAAGTCTGTCTCACGGAAAGGGGGCAGCAGAAAAGACTAAAGCAGAGTTCAGGGTAAAGAATAGTGTCGTGGGGCACAGAGTGGCTTTGCTGTGGCCTCTCATCTTGGCTCTGCCTCCGTTCCACAGCTCCAACTCTGTCCCTAGAACTCATTTTGTCTCTCTTTGTTACGCTGTAGAGGGAGAAGAGAGGACGGGAAGGTAATGCAGGCAGCAACCAGCACAGAGCTAGCCTGTCGTGAGACCCCGCTCTCCCTGCTGACCCCTTTTGTCCCGCCCTGGCTGGCCTGCCGTGTGCAACACACTCCCCATGCCGCCGTTTCAGTGTCCCACCCCTGATGTAACAAATTACCATGAACGTGGCCGTTTACAAGACCACAAATTCATTCTCATGCAGTCCTGGGGGTCAGAGGTCCAAATCCAGGTGTCAGCAGGCTGCTTCCATTGGGCACCTGGGATCAGAGAGTCCTGTGGGACCTCCAGAAGTGCACTGAGCTAGGGGTGGGGGACCCCTTGCGTCAGAGGCCCCAGCTCTCCCTGCCCCGGCAGCGGACATCCTGCCGAGCTTCGGGGCCGCATCCCTCATGCCCTCTTGCCCTTTGCAGCTTTGGAGTGGGGGCTCCCACCTTCCCTGTCTGTGGATCTCCCCGCAACCTCAAGGCCAGCTTTGCAACATCTCCAGCTCTCTCCCTCTGACCCTCTCTGTCCCACGAGGACCCCTGAGTGGGCCAGCTGCATAAGCCGGGACACCACTTCAAAAGATTCTAACTCAGTCCCATCTGCAAAGTCCCTGGCGCCAAATCAAATGACTGAATCACAGGTTTCAGGGATCAGGACATGGAGATCTTTGGGAACTGTCGGTCAGCTGACCACAGTGAGCAGAAAGGATCTCTGGTTTGATTAATCAAAACCCCACACCTGCAGATGCTGCCTTGAGCAGACACAGATGCTGCCCTGTGGCAGGACACATCCGGAGAATTTATGGTTTTCCTTGCCAAAACGTCCACAAAAAAGTAATGATTTAGGATTTGTTTGTTGTAACAACCAGGAGAGTGAGAAGACATGTCTTGAAATGCTTGTACTTGTTTTTGTCTTTTCAGAAGCTGAAGGATAGTTTTTGGGTTTGTCCTCTTCTCTCCAGGAAAGCTTCTGATCAGGAAACTCCTGTAGGATAAAAAATAAAATAAAATAAAAGCCTCTTGGACCAAGGGCCACCGTGGAGAGGGACGGGGTGGATCTGTGTGTGCCCTGCTGCAAAATTGCTGGACCCCCACAGTAGTCCCCCAGAAAGAGCCCTTGTTCAAACGGTGATCATTAGGAAAACTGCCTTGTTTATCCCGTCTCCATAGTAACGCCTGCCTAATGGTGGCTTTGACTGGGGAATGTGTAGCTTTTCACAAAGCATCATTAACTCTTCACGTCTGATGTGCTGCCAGGAGGGGACCCAAAGCTTGGGTGGAAGGGATAGTGAGCCGGAGGGAGGAGCAGAGGGGCAGATAGGTGCTTTCCTCTGATGGAAACAGGGCATTGTGTGCAGGCTGGAGAGGAGACAGGCAGAACTGAGGCCTCCTGCAGGCCTGTCAGTCCTTCCTCATGCCCGCCCATCTCTTAGGGGTCTCAAGTAACAAAGAAAAAGGAAAACCCCAACACCAGACCAGCCCCACTTGGGCAGCACAGCCAGGGAGAGCAGCCTTGCCAACTCCGCATGATCTGAGGACAGTGGCTCAGTCAACCCACACACAGAAGCACACTCAGCCTCCCTGGCCCTGGGCAGTGCCCAGCTGTGGGCTGTGTGGCCTCTGGTCCTTTCCTCTCGCTTGTCACCAGAAGTCTCCGAGCAAGAGGCTGCTGCAGGCCTGCTGCTCCTGACCCAGGCCTAGCAGGGGCGCCTTTGTGGCCCTGCCCCTCAGGACACCTGGAGGAGGGGTACCTCCTGCCCAGGCCCCCCAGAAATGCACTGAGCTGAGGGGGCCTCTGTGCCGGCCAGGCCTGCAGCTCTCTGCCCCAGCCGCTGGGGTCCTGGCAGGCTTTGGGAACCTTCTCCCAAGGAGAGTGAGATTCTCTGCAGGACCTGGGTCACAGAGAAGAGAGGGGAGGTGGCTTGCGGAGGCCCGTGGAGGCCCGTGGAGGCCCGAGACGGCAGGAGAGGATGACCAAGCCTCCACGGGAGCCTCAGCTGCCGACCTGGCTCTGCAGAGGCAGCAGTCACTCAGGGCCCAGACTGAGGCCACAGCCATGCAGAGCAGCTCCAGAAGCTGATGCCTGAGACCAGGAGTCTGCAGGATGGGCCCTGCTGAGGCCCAGGGGGACAGCGTATGTCCCCATCTGCTGGGGGAGCACTTCATGGCTCAGAGAAGTGGCACCTTCAGCCTCACATCTCCAATGTGCCAGGTCGGCTCAGATTAGCCCTCTTACTAAAGACACCAGTGCCATGGGATCAGAGCCCACCTCAGTGGCCTTGTTTAAACTGGGGAAAGGCAGTCTCCAAAGAAGGCCAGCTGCAGAAGCACTGGAGCTTAGGACTTAGGCAGATGGAAAGAGGTCGCGGTGCAGCTCGACTCCTAACAATAAGTCACTTCAAAGATCATTCTTTTCCCCAACTTACAGATGCAGAAAGTGAGACTTAAGAATATTAAATAGTGTGCCCGAGGCCACGTGTCTGGTAATAGTGAAGCCAGGACAGAAAGTGCTGTGAGATCAAGCCTATTCATTCTTCAATATTTGTCAAACTGTTTCTTAATATCTAAGCACCCGGAATCATCATCAGCCTGCATTTCCAAAGCATAGCTGGCGATGCCTGTGCTCTCTCATCCGCCTGCAGGTCTGAGGAGGGGAGGCCCAGTCCTCCAGGCGCTGAGGAGGCAGAGAGAGCCTGACCAGCACTCCTGAGATACCAGAGGGAAGCCGCACTGCGGCTGCACGTCCAGCACTGAAGACCGCGAGGAAGCGGAGCATGGAGACTGCACAGCAGCTCCCCGGGGAGAAGGCGGGAGATGTAAATGTGTTTCTGAGAGTGTTCCAATAACGGAAGGGATTAATTAGGATTTTTTTGGTTGCAAGAAATAGAAAGCAAGTTGAGCTCTCCTGAGCCAGGACAGGGAGGCTTCATTATTAGGATCCTGCGTCTCCCAGGACCCGTCAGAGGTGCAGGTGGCACAGCGAGTGACACATGGCCCTCTCTGGCTCTCCGCTGCCCACTCCAAGGGTGGTGTGCACAGCCACCTCTGAGCTCTCATGGTGCCCTGTTGTGCTGGAGAGACCGCTCTGCAAAAGCCTCCCTGGCCCGGGTCCAAATCCTGACACAGCTCGGCTCGGGTCATGCATCCAGACCAAGACCCAAGCAACCATAGCTGTGTAAGATTTCACAGGGCCAATGTGGCAGGCTGATCTCTGGGGTCCCAGGAAGGCCAGAGGCAACCAGTTACACTGAGCAAAGCCCTAGGCTGCCTTTCCATGCACAAGCAGACCTAGGCTTGGGTTTTCATTTTTCTCAGGATTCCAGCTTTAGAACAAGGGAACCACGGCTTAAAAAAAAAAAAAATCAGAGACACTCTGCTTGCTTAGAAAATAAGCTGGGGGGAGAAGGAGCTTCACCCTGCACAAACCGGCATCTCAAACTCTGCAGCGGATGGCACTTCGAGAGCATTCTCTAAACAGGCTGCCTGCCTCAGTACTGGTTTCTTAGCAACTAAATACCTGACTAATATTCAATTTTTTTCCAGGGCTCTAAGAGCTGCAAGATATTAATTCCAAACAAGACATCTAAATTGTTACTCTGGAAACTTGCGTGTGCATCCCTTCATAGATTAGATGTTGAAATGCCACATTTAGAATACCCTGGAGTATTCCACCCCAGGTTTCCTGAAGGGGGCCTGTCAGTCCCGCCCCAGACTGTGCAGGGACGCAGAGCTAAGGCAGGGCTGTGCAGAGCTGAGCTTGGAACCTTGATGAGCCCCAGAACTTCTCTGAGGCTCAATTTGCACCCCAGGAAATGGGGGTTCAGCTCTGCCTTAGGAGCGAGAAGCTGAGGCAGCCCTAAGCCACCATGCAGCGTGGGCAGAGAGCATCTGGAAGAGCTGGGGCTCAGGAGCACCATTTCCCACCAAAGGAGGTGGCAGATAGGGAAAGCGATGCATGGGCCCCTCTGGGGAGGCGCCCAGACTGGGAGGTGCATCAGGGTGCACGTCAGCCAGTGACGGTGTCACAAAGAACAAAGCTAAGCTTTCAACTCGGAAACTAGAGACAACCGGACCTCAGATGTCTGGCGCCCTTGACCTCTGCAGGAACAGCAGGCATCGTTTCCTTTATTCTCACAGTGATGGTTCATCTCCACTGCTACAGAGAGGAAACTGAGGCTCACGGTGCAGCAGGAGCTCCCCCGAAGCTCTGTGGCCCTCAAGTGGGGCAGGCAGCACCAGTCTTGGCTGGCGTTTGCCTCCCCCAGGGGTCGAGCCATATCCGAGGGAGCAGAAGGAACTCAGGACAGAGCCGGAGGGAGTAACGTAAGTGAGAAGCCCAGGTGAAGATGAGCCGGCAAGACCGCGCTAGGCTCAGCTCCCGGCCGAGCTCAGTGACACCGCCCGCCGCCTCCCGCACCCCCACCTCCACCGCCGTGTCACAAGGGGATGCGGGCCTCTCTCCCAATCCTGGGGAAGTAATGAAGAATAACAATGAAACAGAACAGCAAAAGTTAGAATGGATCGATAAAAATCACAAGATGTTTGGATTTTCTAACAAAATCATCAAACATTAGCAGATATGACCAATAAAACATAAATACAGACTTTAAAAACAAGAAGCAGGATATACTGAAATAAAAGAGTGCAAATGGATCATCTGGGAAGCCCTGGTCACTGTGGTCTTTGCCAGGGATTGGCCCTGGCAGCATCCAAGGGGGTCACCCTGCAAAGTCACCCCCCCATGTAGCTACCAACAAGAGGCTCAAGCCGCAGGTAGGTGCTGACCGCCACTGGCTGCTGTTCCTTCCCCAGTCTGCACATATTTTGGGGCAATGTTTGTGCTCTGGGCAGAACCAGGGGATGCGTGGCCCTGAGGACCAAATGCTTCCAGCTCAGAAGCTACGCATCTCCGGGTTCAGGATCCTCCCAGGTGCACAGGGCACAGCACTAGGCTGGCCACCTCCCACTTGCTGAGTACTTCAGGCTGAGCTCAGATCCTCTTCGCCTCCGTTTGCTCAGCTGCAGCAAAGCACAGCGCCTGCAGACAGAGTAAGTGCCCCTACTCTACCCACTCTGCTATGCACCGCGCGGGATGTCAGTGGGCAGTGCTCTCAGGCAGATGCACTCAAGGTTGCCGTCACTGTTACACACAGGGACCTGGGAGGAAACCGAGGCCCCGCAGAGTCATCTCCCACAGTCCCAGAGACACGGTGGGTGCCAGCCCTCACCACGCATGTATTGTCCTGTGCTTTTGCTGGTAAAAACATATGGAGCTACAACATGGCTTCCCAAGAGGCCTGGGACAAGTACAGTAAAGCCAGCGCGTCTGGCTTTCTATCAGTTGGAAATCCTTATTAACTAGCCATCATACTGTAGGGTCATAATTGATATTCATAAGTAACTTAATTGAAATTAAATTTTAAAATAGCTTTAGTGGTAAGTGCATTTTATTCTAACTCCTTGAAAACTGGTCATCCGAGTATAGTAGATGAGGTAACAGTAAAACATGTTTAATAAAAACACTTGGTCCTGCCTTTCCCTAAGGTCTAAATTCCATATAAGGGAGGAGAGGCTTGGTGGAGTGGGGTCGGCTCCCACCCGGCTGCCCACCAGGCTGGACAATCGCTTCCTAGAATCAGTGCCCCCAGCCAGCTCCTACAACGTAGCTCGCTGTTCACGAGGGCACCACATAACCCTGTGCCACCAGCTTCTCCTCCCCACTTAGGGGCCGAAGGCAAGCTGAATGGTGGCCCCCGAAATGTATGTCCAAGTCCTAACACCCTGAGCTTGTGTGGGGACAGGTTTGGAAGTAGGACATTTGTAGGGGAGTTGAAGGGTCTCGAGGTCATCCCGGAGTTAGAATGACATGTAAGAACCAGGACAAGGTGAGGACACAGACACACAGAGAGGGGAAGCCACTGGAAGGCGAGGAAGAGGCCAGAGCGAGGGTACCACCAGCCAGGGGACACCTGCAGCCGTGGAAGCTGGCACAGGCAGGTGGCACCTGACTGGTCCACACCTTGGCCTCCAGAGCAGCTGCTTCAAGCCCCCGGCTTTTTGTCCTTCCAAAGGGACCTGGCCACAGAGCACAAATCCTCCCCCTCCTCTTTGCACTGCATGCATTGAAGGAGTGTGGCTGAACTTCCCCACACGGCGGGGGTGCTGCGGTCACTCTTAGCCCATCTCGAGTGCCATCCAACGTCACTGTGCACTGGGTGCCTGGCATTGTCTATGGCCTTTGACCCCCTGTCGACTCTCCGGGCCCTGCTGACCACTGCTCCTCTGTGCACCACGTGTGTTAGACTCTATGTACGAGGGAGGTCGAGCGGCATGAGTGTGTCTGCCCTTGGCCTGGTGCCTTCAGCCCCACCCACGTTGTGAACAGAGGTGCGACAGTTCGAATCCCAGCGTTCCACAGAATTCACGCAGGACCCTGGTTCCCAAAGTTGTGTGTTAATGTGTGAACAGGGCAGTGACTTAATCTCACTGTGCTGCTAGTGGTGCCTTTGGGAGGTGACTGGGGTTAGGAAGGGCTTCGTTCGTTCTGTGACTTCGTTCTGTGATGCCAAAGGCAACACACACCCCTTCCTCTTCTTTCCTCCTCTCATGCGATGTTCTGCACAGCAGCAGTGTGTTGGCCGATGGGGCTCCCGGACATTGAAACTCCAGAATCCTGAGCCTCAGCAAACTTCCCTTCACAAAGGCTCCTGCCTCGGGCATTTCACCACAGTAAGAGAACGGTAGCGGGGCCGGATCTCTTCTTAAAGGTCGACACTATCACACGCACACGCATCGCTCCTTCATCGTCTGTCCCTGGACGCGAAGGTTGCTTCCATAGCCTGGCTGCTGTGAACCATGCTGCAATGCACGCAGGACTGCACGTGTCTCTACGAGGTGCTGATGTCACCTGCTGGGTCCACGCCCAGGGGAGAAGCTGCTGTGTCATGCAGTAGTTCTATTTTATGTTTTCAAGAAATCTTCGTACCGTTTTCCTACGGCTGTGCCGATTGGCATTCTCACCAACAGTGTACAGTCCTGGCCGACACTTGTTACCCTTGGTCTGTCGCACAATACCCTCCCAGTAGGTGTGAGGTGGTGTCTCATGGAGGTTTTGACTTGCATCTCCTTGATGAGTACTGATGCCAAGTATGCTTTCATAGACTTGCTGGCCATTTCTGGGCCTTCTTTTGAGAAATGTGTGTTCAAGTCTCCTGTCCAATTTTTTATCACATTTGCTTTTTCTTGCTGTTGAGTCATGTGTGTTTCTTATGTATTCTGGATATTAACCCCTCGTCAGAGGCGTAGTTTGAGAATATCATCTTTCATTCTGTACATTATCTCATCGCTCTGTTGGTTGTTTCCTTTTCTGTGCAAAAGCTTTTCAGTTTGATGTACACCCACATATTTATTTTGCTTTTTTTCCCCTGCACTTTGGGCATGATATCCAAGAAGTGCTTATCAGTACTCACTCCTAAGCTTCTCCAGGCTTCGGGGTAGGTGTCATTTCCTTGTCCTACTCATATCGGAATTATATGTCAGTCTTCTGCTTGTGCGGTTCCCGAACCTCCCCATTCAGTCACCCATCCGTTCATTTTTTTCAGAAACCATGGAGTGCGCAGTGGGGCCATGTGCTGGACTGAGTTTGGCAGAGTTGAATGAGAACCCAAGGATTCTCGTGGAGCTCAGCCCCTAAATATCCCTCTGTGCAGGACAATGGGCTTGAAGAAATAGCGGCAAAATTCACAAGGCAAGGCAGTCTGGGGTGGGTGCTTTCCCACCTCACTCCTGTCCTATAGCCCAAGTCAGCTAAGATAAGCATTGCCTCGTTGAGCATGGTACAGGCAGATCTCAAACTCAGTCAGTCTGATTCTCTTTGAAGTACATGTTGAAACCCAATTAGCATATTGAAAATATGGCAGGGCAGGAAGGGAGTGTGTTGGCATTTCTCAACTCTGCCAATGTTGTGCTACGATGACAACGTAAGACTCTCTCTTAATGAAGTAATAAAAAACAGTGTGAAATATAAAACCACCCGAGGACATCTTTAAAGGACACCTTCTCCTTTTCCTGCAGTGAAATGAAAAGGAACAGCTTGGACGCTAGAGACCAGAGTGCTCCCCGAGAACCCCCACTGCAGGCCAGATGAGTGATACAAATGTTCACATCCATGTCCTCATCACTCATCATCCAGGTGATACTCCGCCTGTCCCCCCAGAGTTGGATGTCACACCTAAGGGCACACAGTAACCCGGTAAACTCCTACTTCTCCCAATTTCCCAGGCACCCCTGGGCAACATGTCGAATCTGTGTGTGGTCATTTCAAATCCCCAAAATTGTTTAGTTTTTCAATATTGAAGATATGTGTAACTGTGAAGACAGCCCGGTATTAGAGGAAGAACTTCCTTTGAACACAGACATATCTCCCAGCAAGGGTTCTCTTTCCTGAATCTCTGTGCATATACAGAGGCCACATGTCACTGCAGCAAATGACACCGCTATCTTCATGCAACAGTTTAGGAAACCAGTTCACAGGATTTTTCAAAACCCATGCTCTTGTTCTCTCTGTTGTCCCCCAGAAGAAGAAGTTCCCTAGACTTGACCTTGGGCAGGATCTTTTCCATACTCTGTGCTCCCTCTTCCATAGAGCCTACAGTGGCTGTGGTGGCTGGTCCTTCAGCTCCAGAGCCTTCACCTTCCCCACAGGCTCAAAGCACTGCTGGGAACAGTCTGGTAGAAGTGCAGTCACCAGCACCACACCGGCAAGGTACCGTTTCTTAGGACTGACAAAATACCTGAGGAAAACAACTTAGAGGAGGAAAGGCTTACTTGGGCTTATGGTTTCAGAGACGCCAGGTGGAAACATCATGGTGGAAGGGTGTGGTGGAGGAAAGATGCTCACCTCTTGGCACCCTGGAAGCACAGAAAGCCAGAGAAGAAGGGGTTAGGGCAGATACGGTCCCCAAGGTCATGGCTCTGTGAGCTACTCCCTTCAATCAGCCCCCACCTTCTGCTCCCCTGCTCCCCACAGTGCCATCCGGTTATGGTCTGAACAACGATTTAATCCACTGATGAGCCGAGAGCACTCATGACCCAACCATCTTTCGAAAGCCCCACCTCAAATGAGCCCTTGAATGAGTCTTGGGGGACACTTTGTATTTGGACCATGACAAGGTAGTTCACCTCTCTTGCTCACCCACGAGTTCTGCCTCCAGATAAAATTTTAACGCTTCACCCTGAAGATCCTACTTACAGCCTCCATCAGGCTTGGCTGGACAACATCTTCGAGGTGTTCCCACCTCACTCACACTGCACCCTCAGCTCCCCAGACTCCTCTGCCCCCGAGACCCATGCCAAAGTCAGCGCCCCGCTACCTTCCCAGCATGCACAGATGCCCTCACCAGAGTCTGGCTCTGCCAGTGTTCACTTGTTTCTCACAGCGCTTCTGTGGGGTGATCCATCTTCAGCCCGTGTGTACACTGCCTGTCTGGACCCCTGACCGGCCATGGCCACTCTGGGTCCATGCCAGGACACCTCACGGTCCTGCTAAACTCAGCTCTACACCAGCACCTAGATGGTGCTCAGCACCTAGAGGGGCTCCTAAGTGCACAGAGCGGGTGCTGGCCGGGTGGGAGCCAGAATGGGGAAGGAGGCAGGGCCGGTGGCATTGTCCATGACTTAGACCTTGTGCCCTGTGGACACACCGGCATGTGGGGAGTATTTCCAGGGTCCTATGTGAGATCAGCACACCAGGCTGTCAGGAGGATAGTAGACTCTACAGGGAACAGGCATTTTATATCCCATCATGGCAGGAGGCATAGGAATGGGTTTAAATTCAGAACACAGCCACTGTACATGGGCCCCTTTGTTTGTTTGTTTGTTTGTTTATAACAGAGTCTCATAAAGCTACCCAGGCTGGCTTTGAACTGTCAGTCTTCCTGCCCCAGCCCCGCTAGTAGCTGGGATCACAGGTGCATGACACTACACATGTGGCGCCATTGAACCAAAGGAGCGCCTGCCTACTGGGAATGTTGATTGAGTCCGGGGACAAAAGCGTTGTCCTGGCCCTGGAAATGATAACACATCGAAACTGGAGGCTGACTGTCAATGCCATGACATTCTGAAAACTGGCTGTGCTCCAGGCACTGCGATCAGCCTGCAGAGCACACAAAGGTAAACCAACAGGCCTGCCCTGAGGACACCCATCCTCAGTGACAGAGACGGTGTGTGCCAAGGACCTATGCTCTTCTTCCACCCAAGGCCAGCAACCTCGGACTTGGACCTCACAGCTTGTTGGAAAGCCAGCGGTCACGAGCCGAGGTCCCACACCAATGAATAATCCCCGCATGCTTCCGGCTCTGCAGAAGGAAGACGATGGACAGTGGGAAGCTGAAAGCAGGAGCTGAGCCTGGGTGTGGCACAGAGTTCCCCAAGACTAGAGTGTGGCGATCGATCTGAGAAGGGCAGGCAAGGCAGGGGACACTGGGAAAGGATGGTCCAGAGAGAGGCTTTGCCAGTCAGGGGCCATGGAAGATCTACAGAGCAGAAAAGGCGTGGCAGGCAGGGACCAGTGCAGTTGGGGGAGACTTGTGGGGTGGGGACAGGCAGAGGCAAGGACCTGAGGAGAATTTGGGGAATTAGGGCCTCGCAGAGTCTGTGCCACCTGGGTTTCTGATGTGGTAAAGCAATCACCCAGTCCGTGGTACATGGTTATAGCAACGGGAAAGAGACCCAGACATGGCATTTTCTGCCAAATCATTTGGAAATATCCCCACAGGCTGTTCTAGTCAGTCCTTGCAGCTGGAATTGCTACATATTTTATTAGCTGTTAGTAGAAACACATTATAGCACCTAGGTAATTCACCCAACTGATAAATTTACAAATTGATTTTATTGAATTATGTTAGATTTGAGGGATTTAGTCCTGTGGCAAAGCATTCACTTGGTGAATTGACTGAGCACAAATTATCTCTGCCGACCAACTTAGTGTAGATCTGAATCTTATCTTCCCCCTCACCACAGATCTTCCTGACCACACCGCCCTGCTCTCCTGCGTCTGACAGCCTCTGCTCTACACCAGAAACCTCATCCCATTGTTTGTCTGACCAGGCCACAGGCTGAGCACGTGAGCAAACCAGCTAAGAATAATTTCCAGTCACCCGGGGTTTAAGGAGATGTCACCAGGCTCTTCCTTCTGTGTCTCACAGGGACATGTGGAATATGCCACTTCCCCTATCAGACAGAGACACACCTTCAGATGCTGCTTTGCATCTTGGGTAGATATGGGTCAATACTGGCTGGTGACAGGTGTATTCTCCATGAGGCTTCACAGCCCAGCCACCTCCTGTCCCATACAGATGTGATTTAGGGGACCAAGAATCAACCTCCACTTTTAGAACTTCAACTACTGGATGTCTCCATGAAAACTATTAACCTGTAATTCCTTGGGCTTTATTTTTTCTTATGAAGTTCCAATTGTGTGCAAAGATATCAAGCAGCATGAGGGTTACTTGCATTTGGATTTATGGACAGGGCTTTTTAAAGAACACAATAGAGGCATTTGAAGGAACATAGATTTGGGATGTCTATGCAGCGCCCAGTGCCACCAGCTAGAGCTGAGGCGTCATCAGCCCCAAGCAGAGAGCTGCGGTGCATCCAAAATTCATCACTGCCCTTGGCATTTTAATAAACAGCTGCTTTTTAAAATGCCTCAGAATGAACACAGACCATAACCAAATCTTGAAAGAAGATTGGCGGGGGGAGTTAGAAAGCTGCTTATTTTGCAAGAAAGAGAAAACAGACTTGTAGATTTGGAAGTAATTTTTAGTTATTCACCTTCAGGAATTGGTCCGTGCATTCATGCATGTGTGTGTGTGTGTGTGTGTGTGTGTGTGTGTGTGTGTGTGTGTGTGTGTGCTACTAGGGCTTGAACCCAAGGGCACTCTCCCACAGAGCTACATCCCAGTCCTTCTTATTTTTTGAGAACAACGTTGCTCTGGCTGGCACTGAAGTTGCAAGCCTCTCACCTCATCCTCCCAGCCAAGTGATCCTAAGTGACTTTGCATAATTTCAGCCCCAAGCAGGAGCAGAGTGGTGAAAAACCCACAGGTCCCTATACCTGGTCATGCCCTGACTCGCCACATGACAGAGCCTCTTGCCTTCAGGGACCCAAGCTCCATACGCATGGTGGGCGAGTGGCCCTCTCCTCCCACTGGGCATGTGAAGGGTCTGATGCCACCCAGGGCGGGGCACCCTTGAGCAGATCTGAGGGTCCCACATCGGGCACCAGCACTGCCATCCTCACTCAGCCTCCAGGATGGAGCAGGAGGGCTGCACGGCACTGCCAAGGGGATTCTGATCCAAGTCAGGTCCACATTCTGCGACGCGTGGCCTGGGGTGAGAGTCCCGGCCTTCCTTGCCAAACTCCCCTGGTGATGCTCAAAAGCTCAGGATGATGTGAAACAAGAAGAGTGCAGCTGAGGGGCAGCGGCGGCTCCCTCTGCCACCACGCTGGCATTTCCTCCTGTAATACGTCTTTCTTTTTGTTTGGTCCTTCAGAGAAGAAGGAGAAAGCAAAACTTCACCCAGAGGAAAATGCAGTCCCTGGGATTGCTGGTTCAGTTTGTTTGGTCCTTCAAGACTGCCACACCTCCCCAGAGAAGAAGGAGAAAGCAAAACTTCACCCAGAGGAAAATGCAGTCCCTGGGATTGCTGGTTCCCACCTAGGTCTGAGCAAGGCCAGCCCTGCACCCTCAGGAAGGAGCCCAGTCGGCCCTCAGAGGGGCTCCAGGGTGGCAATTCCGGGCTGCAGTGTGGGTCAGAGATTAGCTTGCCTCTGTATTGCTAAGGAGCTTAACGCAGAAGACTCAGAAGTACTTCACATGGCTTAGTGACAGAAGGGAGAAACGAGACATCGCCAGGCCCTTGTGGGTAATCTGTGCACTGTGCATCTCTGGTGCTCCCATGGCTTCTTGCCCCTTCCGGCAGGCTCTGGGACCAAGATCACCCCCTTTCCCACTGAGGCTGGGGGCTTTGGCCTGCCGTGTGCCCTGCTCCATCAGCCTCAGGGGGAGAAAGCATCTCAGCCTTGGGCCACCGCAGCTCTACAGACTTCTCATGCAGCTGTGCCAGGCCAGTGTGCCCTCGCCACAGTGCCCACAATAGGACAACTGTGTCACCTGCATGGAGAATGCAGCACCATTTTAAGGGGGGAAATCACTGACTAATTTCAGGGAAATTTGTCTACAAGGTGCGGTGAAAAATATGGTGAATTTTCACAATTTAAAAAATGTATTAGGGTGAAAGACATGTAGCCATTAAACACCCTAAAATACTCCCTCATTTCAAACACGACCTTCCCATCGCTCTCGCTGCTTTCTGAAGCACTTCTGTAAGTCCCCCTTTTGTGAGCATCTAGTTGCACCATCATGGTTGCCTCAAGTGTCCTAAATTGGTTCCAAACATTTACCTTTCATGGTCATTTTTATTTTGGGGAAAAACCAGAAGTCACACACTGCCAAACCTGGTGAAGAAGGCAGATAAGGACACGCAGTTATGTCCCTATGAGCCTGGCTTTCCATTGGATGGTGCTGGGCAGCAGCATTTGCTATATATTTTAATCAGAACTGTGCAGACACTCACAAAAGAGAACATCCAGGACTACTTCAGAAGGTGCCAGAAACATCTAGAAACACTTCGGAAAGTGGGATATACATGTGCAAAACAAGAGGGTGCATCCTGCGGCGGAGAAGGGCAGTGTGCCTTTTACTGCTAAGTTTTTAAACATTTACCATATATTTTCATCACCCTTATACATGTTCTGGTGCTTTACACAGTATTTGCTTCCCATGCATCGCTGTTCTGTTCC